TAGGCTTCTAAGTCCCTGGAACACCTGCCCCCCCCCCCATTTCTCTCTTCAAGGTCTTCTTTCCAGAGAGCCATGGTGCCTTGAATGCCAGGGAGGGGAAGCCAGTTGTCCCAGTCTACCCACATCCTGCCCTTACCTGAAAGTGGTTGCAGACCCACAGACTGGCCAATAAACCAAGCAGTGGTTACTTTGGGGAGTGGGAGGCTGTCAGACCTCACTGCTTGCTGCACACATAGTTGCGGGGGCGTGTGCAATGTGCCAGGGCAGGTGGGAGTGGCGGTTTCACTAGGCCTCTGTGTCACTCGCTGACTGGTCTACCTCCTAGCATGAGAGGCAGAGGTACACGCATCTCCCGGGCTGTCTTACTGGGTCTCTCTGTGTTACTATCTGCACTACTTGTGTGCATCATGCCATTTTCTGTGTTCTGTCCCAGTCTACTGTGAGTGTCCTCAAGTGACCTGGTGGGCAGGGTTTTAGTGCCCAAGCCTCCCCTTCTCCAGGCCTTGGTATATAAAAGTAGAGGAGTTGGTCCAGAGGAAGTCCCTCTAGAAACCTTGAGCACATGGCACGTGAACCGCCTAGTCCCAGGGCACTTGGAGGCATGCAGGAAAAGCCCCGAGGCCCAACAGGTAAAACACTGGGCGAAAGTAGCAGGCCAGGGCAGAGGCGGGCTCAAGGGGGGAGTGTGAGGCGTATTTGGATAAATGGAGGGAGGGACAGAAGGAGGATATACTGCAGTGGGAGGAGTCACTGGAGCAAAAGGAGGGATGGTAGGAACATGCAGGCAGGCTTGGGGTGGCAGCAGGAGACACCCCATCACGGCAGGAAGTCAGCCTGGGCAGAGCTCTCAGTGCCCGGGAGGATTCAGGAGAGCAGTTGCCTTGAGGGCAGGGACTCCCTGCCACCAGCCCTTCCCAGCCACAGGGGGCACCCTTCTGTGAGGCAGGAGCAGCCCAGGCACTCAGAGACCTTTGCTCTCTTTCCTCCTCTTGCCTTCTCTTTGTGTCGCCGCCTAGCGATGGGGAACTCCCAGGGCTGGTGAGGCAGGGCTACAGGGGCCTGGGGTGGGTCTGAAGGAGTCCCTGCAGGGCGTGGCCTGCTCCCCCACGCCCCCTTGTCTGTCTTCCCCTCCCACTTCTTATTTTTAGTCTCAGTCTAGCTGTCTGTCCCTCTTGCCTCTCCCCCAGGCCAGGAGAGGAAATGGAGGCCTCTCCCTCTGGGCTTTGCATGTTGCTCCCAGCAACCAGGCCCAAACAGGCCTGCGGTGGCCCTGGCTTCCATATCTGGCATCAGAGCTGGAGCCTGGCTGAGGAGGGTGACTCAGCGGGCGGGTCAGCACCTGGCCTGGTGCCCACCCAGCCCCTTGGATGTGCTGGTGCCTTTATTCCCCAAAGCAGCCCAAGAGCCCCAGCCTGCAGTGGCCTGCGAGCCAGGCTTCCCCAACCTGCCAGCCACAGCCTAACAGACCCCTGGACTTGGTTCACACCCACCAGCGCCAGCCCTCATTTCTACCTTAATCTTTTCCTCTCTGCTCCCCTCCCCTCCCCCACACTCCCTAGTTCTCTCTCTCTCTCCCTCTCTCCCTCTCCCTCTCTCTCTCTCCCTCTCTCCCTCTCATCAGATTTGCCAGTTGTGGGAAGTTAGAAACAGGATGCCCAGCCCTGCTTGCCTCTGCGCTGGGATGCAGCCATTTCTGTGCTTGGGGACCCTGGAAGAAGCAAGGAAGGAGCTGGCTCTCAGCTGGCACGACACTGGGCCCGGGCAGGACGTGGGCAGAGCCAGGGTCTCCCCTGCGAGCACTAGAGGATTTCCCGACCACTGCCCGGGTATTGTCTGTCTGAGCATGAGTCACCTGAGGGGCCCCAGGTTCCCACCCTTCCCAGCCCCTCCAGCCTGCCACACCCTGTCATCCCTGCCAACCCAGCACGGGGCATGTGCCCAGCTTTCCTGCTGCCAATCCCCAGTGGACTGGAGTGCAGGCAGCACCACCACCTGGGGCTGAATGCTTGGCCAGGTTCTGCTGTGGTTCCTGCTAGGACCCCTCCTAAGGAAGGAAATGGCATTTGGTGGCGGGCAGGCAGGATCAGGAAGGAGGGAGGAGAGGCCCTGGGCTCTGCTCTACCCCCAGCCATATCTTGGGGTGTGCATGTGGCTCCCTGGCCGCACAGCTCCCACAGTGTGAGTCATGAGCCCATGGGTGATAGTGGCTTCTTCCCCATAGATGGGAGCTCCCCAGGCCTGACTAAGAAAACCGCAAAGGCTCTTCCTCGCTCCCTTCTCTTTGCTCGCGGTTTCTCTCATCTGCAGGGTGTGTCTGAGTCCTTGAATTGCTTCTCTTTCCAGAGCTAGTCAGAACCTCCAGAAAGGAAAGGGAACTAGCCCCCTTAATTTTGTGGGAGGCCACATATCATGTATGTGCTGAAGCAATAGAGCACTGCTTTCCAGCTCTGCTCCTACTTGCTGTGGGACCCTGGGCGTAGCTCTCTGTGCCTCAGTTTCCTCAATCACATAGTAATAACACCTATCCCACAGGATAGCTCTGAAGATTCAATGAGTTAACACTATAATATTTAGAGCAATGCCTTGTATACAATACGCTCTATGTAAGTGTTTGCTATTATTAATATTATTAGCATCACCACTACTACCACCACCTTTGTAAGCAGGAGAAAGTAAAGTGGTTAGACCGAAGAAAAAACTCCTGTGCTTGTCAGACTATAAGCTCCCAAGGACAGGGACCATGCACCTCTGTTTTCCTCAGTCACTGTCTGCCAGGCACTGGCAAGGAAAGGGCATCACCAAGGGGAGCTCCTGGAGTTCCTCCTCCGGCACCTGAGCAGATCTGGAGAGGCAGGACTAGGGAAGAGGTGCCCTTGAGACGTCTTCTGAAAGCGCCCCATCTTTCTTCCCCGCTCCTCCCAGCTCAGGCTGGCTGGGTTGGGGAACGTTTTGTGCAGCGGTGGCTGCCCTCTTCCTCCTCCTGGCTTCTCTGTTTTCTCTGGACCTTGTGGCTTAGGGAGGCAGTGAGGTAAAGGAGGAGGAGTCCTGGATCAGCAGCCAGAATAGACTGGGACACTGTCCCTGCTGCTGGCCTGCAGTGCTTGACACCCGGCTATTCACCTTCCTCCTCTGCTTCTCATCTGTAAAAGGAGAGGGTTAAACCGGCTCTAAGCTCCTTCCAGTTCTCTAAGTTCAGAGAGCCTCCGAGTCAGGCCAGCTGCAGCCGTTAGAGAGCCTTGGGGCAGAGAGGCCTCTTCTGGGAAGCCCCTGCCGGCCTGGGAGCCTGCCCAAGGAGTTCAGACTCTGCGTCTGCTGGTGGCTTCATTTTACCAGCAGTTTTTCTTCATTCTCCCTCCTCCCCCTGCAGCTGCTTCAGCTTCGGAAAAGTTCTGAAGTCATGGAAAGTTGGGGCTGTGCTCCCAGCCAGGGGCCGGGCCGGATGGCAGCCAAAACCTGAGCTGGGTTTTGACTTTATTTTTAGCTTTTCTGACTGAGACGGAGGAGGGGAGGCATCTTCCAGTTCTGGAAGGGCCTCCTTTTGCCGGAGACAGACATCCTTGCATTAAACAACTTGTTCTAAGGTGTGGCCAGAGGCCTGCACTGAGCAAGCATGCCAGCTAGGGGAGCTCCTTCCCACCCTCCCCTGCCCCTCTGGCTGTCACTCTATCTCTTTCCCAGTCCAGTAGGCCCAGTAGGAGGGCGGTGACTCCTTTTTTGGACTCCCCTGAGCTGGTGGCAGGAGAACACTGCCTGGGTCTCATCCTCTCACTCTGGAGCTTCCGCGAGTCAGTCTGTCCCACTTCAGAGTGAATTGCTGGGCCTCTTAGAGCTTAGGGCTTTTGTGGCAGAAGAAAAATGTTGGCAGGGCCCCACTTTTCTCCTTTCCAGGATAGATTTTCCCTCTGCTGCCCACGTTTGGTTTTCCTTTTTTCCATCCACCATGGTGGGCGTGTGCTTAAGGACTGATGAGTTACAGATGGCCGGCCGTGGGGACGACCAGGCCCCTGGGCTCTTTCCCTCCACTCCCTGAGTCTACTGCTTTCTCACACCCTGCATTTGTGAAAGGATTGTAACATCTGGAAAGTTCTTGGGTTGCCTGGAGATTTTTAAGAAAATGGGACCCCTGTATTTCTCCAGTTCACTAGAAAAATAATCAGGGGCCCAGAAAGGTGAGGGAGGTGGCAGGGGCAGCCCTGATCGGTTGGTTCTGGCTAAAGCTTTACCCAGTTTGAGGAGCAGGGAGGCTCAAAACTGGAGGCAGATGCTGAGGCTTGTGTTGATGGGCAGGGCTCAGCATTGTCTCAGGGCTCTGATGAAGCCAGAGGGAGGGAGGCTGGGATCTCTCTGCTCTGCCCAGATCGGGGGATGCAGACCGGGTCCTGAGAAAGGAAAGGGTCAATACCATGCATGATATCCTTATCCCACCTCTCCGTGAGCTGTAACCAGACTTTCCTTCCCCACGGTCCACATGTGTGAAACGGGACTAGGAGGGTGACTAACACCTTTGGGACTCAAACTGAGAAGGTTTAGGGACATGTGGATCCCCAGGCTGGGAGCTTAGTTGTCTGGCTCCCTGGAGGGAGGGAAGCTTGGCTGAAAGGAAGGTGGGTGGAGTCCAGGGAGGAGAAGGTTAAGGCCCTGTGTGGGAAGGGACAGGAGACAAAGGTGCCCCTGTCTGATTGGGAAGGAATGGGAGGAGAGAGAGGGAGAAAGCATTCATATCATGGGATAGAGCTTTGCCCTTGGCCCCAGGCAAGTTCCTGAGCCCTGAGTCATGGGAAGGGTGGAGAAGCAAGAAGGGGGTTTTGGGGGACCTTTGGGGTTGGTGGGAGCCCAGCTCCAAAGGCAAGCAGATGCAAATGAACCTAAAGCAAGGATGCCCTCTCCTGGTAGCTGGGGGATCAGCAGAGCCAGCCCCCGTGGCTGACCTCTCTGGAACCTAGCCCTCTCTAGGGATGTGGACTCCTTCTCTTAAACCCACTCTTCTCTCTCTTCTTCAGCAATACCAAGAAGGAGGGTGACTTGATGGCTGCTCAGGCCCGGCTCAAGGACCTGGAGGCTCTGCTCAACTCCAAGGAGGCCGCTCTGAGTACTGCTCTCAGCGAGAAACGCACGCTGGAGGGCGAGCTACATGATCTGCGGGGGCAGGTGGCCAAGGTGAGGCCACCCTCCAGGGCCCGCCCACAGCCCCACCTCACACATGCACACTTGCTTTTCTACCCTGACCCGCCCTCGGGGGGGAGGTGCCCGGTCTGACCTGTCCTGGCCTGATCTGATCTCAGCCATTCACCTGTCCTAGTGTCATTTCTCCCATTCAGAACACACCTCATCCTTCTTGGTCGCCCATGGGATCTAGCACAGTGAATTTGAAGTAATCTACAGGCCATTTCCATTTAACTACGCAATGAACTGTGCCTGGCCCTAGATCCCTCCCAGTTAGGCCCTCCTACAGACAGCTGTGACTTCTTTGGAAAAAAGGAGGAATGGAGACCTTTCTTTCTTTCCTTCTCAGTCATCTATTGAGGCCATAATTGGGAGCTAATGATTAATTACATATGGGACATGTATTAATAATGCTTTGTATGTGTGTGGTGGCTTCTACTTTCAAAACACTTTGCTCCAGTTTCTCATGTTAAAAGCTAGGGAGTGGAATCGAAGAAGCTGTTTTTTTTTTTTCCCTAATTTCACTGCCTCATCTGCTCAGAGCAGGGCCAGCAATGGAGTCAGTGGCCAAGCTTCCATCCTGGGCTCTCTGCTTCCCAGGCCCTGCCACCCTAGTGTACCAGGGAGAGACCAGGAGAAACCAGCAGGTTGGCTACCAAACCAAGGCTGGGCTGTTCTCCTCCCAGGTCTCCTGCCTCCAGCTCCACCCTTCCCACCAGCTTTTCCCAGCTGCACTGACCAGCCTGTTTTTTCATTCTTTCTTTTTATTTCATTTTAGAGATAGAGTTTTGCTCTGTTGCCCAGGCTGGAGTACAGTGGCACAATCATAACTCACTGCAGCCTCAAACTCTTGGGCTCAGGGTGATCCTCCTGCCTCAGCCTCTGGAGTAGCCAGGACTTACAGGCACATGCCATCATGTCTGGTTAATTTTTCTTATTTTTTGTAGACATGGGATCTCACTGTATTGCCTAGGTTGGACATGAACTCCTGGCCTTAAGTGATCCTTCCACCTCAGCCTCATAAAGTGCTGGAATTACAGGCATGAGCCACCACATCCAGCCAGCACGCATTTTCTAAAATGAAAATCTAAGCAAGGTGCTCCCCTGCTCAAACTCCTTCAGAGGTTCTTTTTGTGGCAGATAAGAGTGTGTCTTCATGAGCCAGCCCCTGCCTACTGGCCTGGCCTCCTCTCACATCACTTCTCCCCACCCCATACTTTAGGGTTCAGCAGTACTGATCTTCCTGAAACCCCCAGAACACATGTGTGCCTTCATACCTCCATGCCTTTGCATGTGCTTGTCTCAGCCCCTGCATTCACAACAGTGCCCCTTTCCAGTCCCCACAGGCCTGTCCCTTGGGTCTCAGCCTCTTGGAGGCCTTCCCAGCCCCCCAGTCCCCACTATGTCAGGTACAATTTGGTTCCTTCTCTCATATCCCCCCAATATTTTGTACATACCTCCTTTATAGCAATCATTTATGTTGTGCCAGGGAGAGAAGTTTCTATGGCTGTAGAGGAAATATTACCTTTTATTTCTTAGCACAGTACCCACCCAGAGTAGTTTCTGTGAGTAAGTGGACATCCAAGGCCCTTCCTTCCCCTGGACCTATTTCCACACATGTAAACAGGTGTGCTGGGAACAGCTCACCTCTCATCTTCCTTCCAGCTCTCATATTCTGTGTCCCTCACTCTGATCTTTACCTGCTTCCTCTCAGCTTGAGGCAGCCCTGGGTGAGGCTAAGAAGCAACTTCAGGATGAGATGCTGCGGCGGGTGGATGCCGAGAACAGGCTGCAGACCCTGAAGGAGGAACTGGACTTCCAGAAGAACATCTACAGTGAGGTAGGGACTGTGCTGTGCAGGCCGGAGGGCTGAGGCTGGGTGGTAGCAGATGCCAGTCTTGGGCTAGGGGATCATCTGTGTGTGGGGCTCACCTGCCTGAGTCCCTTGTTCTAGTGGACAGGGAGTAGGGGCCAGCACCTAGCTCCCAGGTTAGAGTGGGGCTGACAGCAGCTTGGGGGATAAGGGCTGGGTAGAGAACTCGGCTGTCTGAGCCTTGGCCTCTAAGAAATTAGTTCTGACTTGGGTTTCTGTGTCCTTGCTCCAACCCTCCCAGGAGTTGCGTGAGACCAAGCGCCGCCATGAGACTCGGCTGGTGGAGATTGATAACGGGAAGCAGCGTGAGTTTGAGAGCCGGCTGTCGGACGCCCTGCAGGAACTGCGGGCCCAGCATGAGGACCAGGTGGAACAGTACAAGAAGGAGCTGGAGAAAACCTATTCTGCCAAGGTGCTCGCTCTCCGCTGTTCTCTGCCTCTGCCCCCAGCAGCCCTACCCTTGCCCGCACTGGGATCTTCCGTGGGGGATCAGAGGTTGCAGCAGTGATGCCCTCCTCAGGACCCTCCCTCTGCCCCTCCCAGTCCCTGCAGTCCTAACCCTGTGTCCTCCCCTCCAGCTGGATAATGCCAGGCTGTCTGCTGAGAGGAACAGCAACCTGGTGGGGGCCGCCCATGAGGAGCTGCAGCAGTCCCGCATCCGCATCGACAGCCTCTCCGCCCAGCTCAGCCAGCTCCAAAAGCAGGTGGAGCCCCCTCACTCTTTCCCCCTGGGGCCAACGGTCTGGGCAGGTTGTAGGTCGGAAGCCCAGGGGGGCTTCCTGAGGAGGGGGAGGTAGAGGTGGGGACAGAACGTGCCCCAGGACCATGCACTGAGAGAAGGGACCCAGGATTTGGAGCCTGAAGGCCTGTCTGCTGTCCAGAACTCCCTCTTACTTTGCCTTTGCTTTTCAGAGCTTTGGTTTTCCCATTTGAAAATGGAGATTGTTCTTACCCTCCCTAACTCACAGATTTGCCATGATACTGTACAATGTTGAGTGTTAAAAGCATCAGTATTATTGTAGCTGGCTGTGCCATTTATGATGCAGAAAATAGGGTCTAGCCTCAGAACGAAAGATTTCAGCTAGATATTTGGAAGGACTTCCCAGTCACTAGGCAAGACTGTGTTTAGAGCCTGTGATGGGCTCTGAGGCGGGCCTGGAGATCCTGGAGAGGGTGGCTGGGTGTCCCTTACACCTACCCACATCCCTATCCCTCCGTACTGGGGACCCTTGAGAGCTCACCAGACCCCTCCCTCCCCCACCCCAGCTGGCAGCCAAGGAGGCGAAGCTTCGGGACTTGGAGGACTCCCTGTCCCGTGAGCGGGACACCAGCCGGCGGCTGCTGGCAGAGAAGGAGCGGGAGATGGCCGAGATGCGGGCAAGGATGCAGCAGCAGCTGGATGAGTACCAGGAGCTGCTAGACATCAAGCTGGCCCTGGACATGGAGATCCACGCCTACCGCAAGCTCCTGGAGGGCGAGGAGGAGAGGTGGGCTGGGGAGGAGTCAGGGAGGTGCTAGCGGTGGCCTCTGGCCCGTGGCTGGCCTTGACTGGGCACCGCCCTCGGTCTCTCCCTCTCCAGGCTGCGCCTGTCCCCCAGCCCCACCTCGCAGCGCAGCCGTGGCCGCGCCTCCTCCCACTCGTCCCAGACGCAGGGTGGGGGCAGCGTCACCAAAAAGCGCAAGCTGGAGTCCGTGGAGAGCAGCCGCAGCAGCTTCTCGCAGCATGCGCGCACCAGCGGGCGCGTGGCCGTGGAGGAGGTGGACGAGGAGGGCAAGTTCGTGCGGCTGCGCAACAAGTCCAATGAGGTAGGCTCCCAGGTCGGGGTCCAAGGGCAGGCAGCTGCATCAAGGAGAAAATCCGCAAGAGGAAGGGATGAAGTTTGGAGAGAGTATTCCTCCCCTCAGAGGGTGGCCCTGAGCGACTGTGGATCTCCTTCACACTCTAGTTCCAGTCCTGGCTCCTGGACTCACTGGCTGTGAGACCTAGGGCAAGTTATTTAACCTCTCGGAGCATCAGTTTCCACATCTGTAAAATGGGATGAATCGCAGACCCTAACTCTGAGTTTTGGGGCAAGGAAAGATAAAGTGTTAGTGTGTCTGGTACAGCATAAGTGTCCACAGATCAGATCTCTTATCCTTGAGGGGAAGGGCAGTGATGGCGAGGGGGAGGTAGGAGGGGAGGGCAGGGTGGAGGGAGAGGCCCTTGAGCAAGATAAACCCAACAGCCTGGGTGAGCCTCCCCTACCTTCCTCTTCCTCATCCTGCTGGCAGGACCAGTCAATGGGCAACTGGCAGATCAAGCGCCAGAACGGAGATGATCCCTTGCTGACCTACCGCTTCCCGCCAAAGTTCACCCTAAAGGCTGGGCAGGTGGTGACGGTGAGTGGCAGGGAGCTTGGGGCTCTGGGGTGGCCTTGGGTGGGAAAGGGAGTGCCAGAGTGAGCATTCTTCTCTAATCCCTCCTCTCCAGATCTGGGCTGCAGGAGCTGGGGCCACCCACAGCCCCCCTACTGACTTGGTGTGGAAGGCACAGAACACCTGGGGCTGCGGGAACAGCCTGCGCACAGCTCTCATCAACTCCACTGGGGAAGTAAGTGTGCTCCGGGCTGGCTTCTTGCCGGACAAGGCTCCCCCTGGTGGCCAGAATCAGAGCCAGCTGCCCCCAACCCACGGAAACCAATTCAGGGCCACTTTCTAGAGCTCTCTGGTGCAGGCTCCAGACTCCCCACCTAGTGGGCAAACCAAAAGATGCCGCCCCCAGCAGCAAGAGGGGTGGAAGGAAGACAGCAAGGATTGTTAAAGGTAGAGCCATACTCCAACCCAGAGAGCTTGGTGGAGTTCCTCTGGGGCAGAAATGAGTCCCTTAGCTCCAACACCACAGAGGACAGAGTAAGCGGCAGGCTGGACAAAGGGCGGACCACAAGAAAGCTTTCAGGGGGTCACTATGGGTAGATATGCTGTACCCCCACCCCTCTCCTGGCCCTAAGCCACTGACCCTTGGGCTCTGTCCCTTGTCCTTGGCAGGAGGTGGCCATGCGCAAGCTGGTACGCTCAGTGACTGTGGTTGACGACGATGAGGATGAGGATGGAGATGACCTGCTCCATCACCACCATGTGAGTGGCAGCCGCCGCTGAGGCCGAGCCCGAGCCCGCACTGGGGCAACCCAGCCAGGCCTGGGGCAGCCTCTCCCCAGCCTTCCCATGCCAAAAATCTTTTCATTAAAGAATGTTTTGGAACGTCACTTGCTGCCCTGGCCTTTCTTCTCTCTCCTCCCTATACCTTGAACAGGGAACCCAGGTGTCTGGGTGCCCTACTCTGGTAAGGAAGGGAGTGGGAACTTTCTGATGCCATGGAATATTCCCATGGGAGCAGCGGACAAGGGTCTGGATTTGTCTCCTGGGAAGGGGACGGGAGGACAGACGTGGGGCACCCTAGCCCTGCCTCTCTCCCCCCATTTCTATTGCATGCAGTTCTTTTCTTGTCCTTTCTCCATTCCTGTTGCATGCATGTCCTCTCCTTTCCCTCATTTTTCCTGAGAATGGTCTCTTTCATTCCTGCCCTCTCCAATTAAATTTGCATGCCTACTGCCCTATAAGCTTGCTCCCTCTCTCTCCTTTTCCTCTTAAGCTTCCAGTAGCTAAAACAGAGTCAAAGGCACAATTCCTGTTCTCTGTCCCCAAGTCTTCCTGACCCTTCTCCCCTTTCATGTCTTCCCTTCTTCTGCCTTCTAGCCCCTGGTCTCCTCGGCCCCTATTGCCCTCTAGCTCTTTGGGCACAGAACCCCACCTTCCTGCCTGGCAGCTAGAAGCCTGCAGGAGCCCAGAGCCTGGGCGTTGGGCCTGAGCCATCCTTCCCAGGCTCGCCGTCCCGCCTGAGCCTTGTCTCCCTCCTCAGGGCTCCCACTGCAGCGGCTCGGGGGACCCCGCTGAGTACAACCTGCGCTCTCGCACCGTGCTGTGTGGGACGTGCGGGCAGCCTGCTGACAAGGCGTCTGCCAGCGGCTCAGGAGCCCAGGTGGGCGGATCCATCTCCTCTGGCTCTTCTGCCTCCAGTGTCACAGTCACTCGCAGCTACCGCAGTGTGGGGGGCAGTGGGGGTGGCAGCTTCGGGGACAACCTGGTCACCCGCTCCTACCTCCTGGGCAACTCCAGCGCCCGGACCCAGGTGAGTTGTCCCTGTGTCTCCACACATGTAGTCAAGACCCTGGCCATTGAGGGTTAGGACAAAGTGGCCCTCTGTGGGGGGAGGGCCTTCTCTTCCGCAGCCCGGAGGAGTGGGAGCCTCCTCCTCTCAGCCCGAGTCCTAGCCAGCCCACTCCTGCTTCCTGCCCCTCTCGTCTGAGCCCCAGACTGGAGGGCAGGGGCGTGTCTGGGGTGTGAAGGGTAGGGTAGACACTACCTCCCTCCTGGCAGCCAGGGAGGGAGGGTCTGGGCCCCGGCACTACCGCTCACACTTCTCCCCTCTCTCTTCTCTCTTAGACCCCCCAGAACTGCCGCATCATGTAATCTGGGACCTGCCAGGCAGGGGTGGGGGCAGAGGCCTCCAGTTTCCTCCTCACCTCATGCCTATCCTCTACCCTGCACCTCAGGGAGGGGGCTTGAAGCCAAAGAAAAATATCCCTTTGGTTTTTTTCTTCTGTATTTTGTTTTTTTTTCTACGAGAAGTTATTTTCTACAGTGGTTTTATACTGAAGGAAAAACACAAGCAAAAAAAAAAAAGCATCTATCTCAATCCTAATTTCTCTTGCCTGCCTTTTCCCTGCTTCCAGGAAACTCCAAATCTTCCTTAAAACCAAAGAGGGCTTCCTCTGCGAGCCAAGGGAAAGGGGTGCTTTTACAGAGCCTAGTTTCTGCTTCTCTGCCCTGGCTGCTGCCCCTGCCCCAGGGCCCCCATGACATGGTGCCTGAGAGGCAGGCGTGGAGGGGTCTCTGCCAGCCTCCTCTGGACAGCAGGCCGCCACCAGGCCAGCCTCTGTGAGGAGGAGGAGAGAGAGAGAGAATACTTGGTCCCACTACACCTGGCTGAGGCTCCTCTGCCTGCCCCGTCCCCAGTCCCCACCCCTGCCCCCTGCCCCCTGCCCCCTGCCCTGGGGTGAGTCCATTCTTCCAGGTGCCAGCTGCACTTGCTTTTTCTGTATTTTATTTAGACAAGAGATGGGAATGAGGTGGGAGGTAGAAGAAGGGGGAAGAAGGTGAGTTTGAGGTGCCTTCCCCAGCTTTAGAGCCTGGGTGGGCTCTGTGCAGTCACTGGAGGTTAAAGTCAAGCCAAGTCAAGCGGGGTGCAGGGAGGAGGGAGAGGGAAGCCACTGGAAAGGGTGAGAGCCTGCTGGGGCCCACCACAGAGGAGGAGGGCGGAGGGCGAGAGGGGGTAGGGAGGCACGGCAGTGGTTATGGCAAACACTAAGGATCCCCTAGCCTCCCCGTTTCCCATCTGCACCCCTTCTCTCCTCCCCAAATCAATACACTAGTTGTTTCTATCCCTGGCTGCTGTGGTGTCTTTGTTGGTGGGCATCACTGGGTGTCCTGAGCGGCAGACGCACACACAAGCACCGCGTGGTCACTGCTCGCACTCATTCCTGCTAGCTTCACCCCTGCTCTAGGGGCGACAAGAAGAAATGAAGCCCTCAGAGCACTTCAGGCACATATCGGGGCACTCTGTAGTGGCTGATGGGGAGAGGTGTTGACTTAAGTGTCACTCACCCACTGTGTGGCCCTCTCCCTGTGGAAGTCCTTCAGAGAAGTAGAGCCCGAAGGAGGGCACTTCCTTCCTGACTTCTTTCATGCTACCAACACTTATCAAGCCCTTCTCTGGGGCCCTGAGCTAAACTGGAATATGAAGACATATGGTATCAGCTCCATCTGAGGTGGTGACATCTCAGGGGTGAGGGGACAGCAGGAAAGTAGCTGTCTTACTTTGCAGAGCTTCCTTACTTTGCAAGGGAGCAATTAATGTCCCTTTGTGCCACATTGTGCTTAGCTTGTAGGACAGGGAAATGAACAAGAAAACACATTTAGTGTCCTCAGGGAAATTACGCCCCAGTGGGAGTCAGAAACGTGACTGCTGCAGGCACAGGGTAAAGCAGGAGCCTCCGAGAGGGAGATGGTTTATAACCGGGGGCATGAGGAGCCCTGACTGAGGGAAAGAGCCCTAAACAGGGACAATGAGCTTTAGTAACCAGCCTTTCTAGTTTCTGAGCATTTCCACACTATCCCATTCAACACTCCTACTGTCTTGAGAGGTCCTTATTGTCTCCTTTGCTCCTGGAAAGGGAGACTCAGTTCATGTGCCCAGGGCCACACAGCTAGCAGGTGGCAGGAATCCCAAGATATCGCAAGTTTATGTTCCCTGGGCAGAGGAGTTGAGCTTGCAGTCAAAAGTCAGTGAGAGGGGGGAGCGGGGGGCATAGGCAACATACATAACCTTAACATTTGTACCCCGATAATATGCTGAAATAAAAAAAAAAATTAAAAGTCAGTGAGAAAAGGGCATGTCTGGGATTGTGGGAAAAATAGATTGGAGAAAGCATTGTTGCTGAGAGGAAGAAGGCCCCTGAAGTCATGCTGGAAATTCCCAATTTCCCCAGGGGCTGAGACCCCAAGTGTCTCTGGGGAAGGGATGCTAAGAGGAAGGGGCCCTGCCTGGGTTGGACAGCTTTAAAGAAGGAAACCCTTCCTGTCCGAGCCCTCAGCGAAGACCCCGAGACTCCGCATATGCCAGGTCTTAGATGTCAGCGAAGGATTCTTGTGGTATTCAAAGCCACGACGTCTACGTGCACTTCCCAAGCCGGGCACCTGGGGGCGCCAGAGCCCCACCGCGGCCCGCCAGGCGTCCGCGCATCCCGGGCGGGGGGCCCTAGTAGCTTAGCTGACCCCTGGTGGGCTGCGCTGGCTCTGATCTCAGGAGGCTGTGCGGGCACTGCGGGCTGGGGACCACCAGGACCAGCTGGTTCCGGGAGCTTGAGGAGGAGAGCTGAGGGGGATATGGCCAGTACGCAAACACTGCAGCAAGCTGGCCCGCGGTAGAATGGCAGCTGGGGACTCTGCAGTGCGCGTCTGCACACGTGGTCACCTCACGTGACACTCACAACACAATTCAGCACTCAGCAGGCCACATATAATTATGTAAAAAATTTTTTTGTTAAAATGTAATACACACTTGGCTGGGCATAGTGGCGCATGTCTGTAGTCCCAGCGACCTGCAGGGCTGAGGTGGGAAGATCGCTTGAGCCCAGGAGTTGGAGGCCAGTGTAGGCAATATAGCAAGACCTCGTGTGTGTGTGTGTGTGTGTGTGTGTATGTGTATGTGTCTTTATTTATTTATTTATTTATTTTGAGACAGAGCCTCACTCTGTTGCCAGGGCTAGAGTGCCGTGGCGTCAGCCCAGCTCACAGCAACCTCAAACTCCTGGACGCAAGCAATCCTCCTGCCTCAGCCTCCCCCGAGTAGCTGGGACTACAGGCATGCTCCACCATGCCCGGCTAATTATATATATATACATTTAAGTTGTCTAGTTAATTTCTTTCTATTTTTTTAGTAGAGACAGGGGTCTCGCTCTTGCTCAGGCTGGTCTCGAACTCCTGAGTTCAAACGATCCTCCCACCTCGGCCTCCCAGAGTGCTAAGATTACAAGCTCGAGCCACTGCGCCCAGCCAAGACCCCGTGTCTTTAAAATAACATGTAGGCCTGGTGCGGTGACTCACGCCTGTAAGCCCAGCACTTTGGGAGGCTGAGGTGGGAGAATGGTTGAGGCCAGGAGTTCAGGGTTACTGTGAGCCTTGATCCTGTGGCTACATTCTAGCCTGAGCGGTAGAGTGAGACCTTGTCTCTAAAATATAAAAATTTTGGCCAGGCCTCACCCCTGTAATCCTAGCTCTCTGGGAGGCCGAGGCGGGCGGATTGCTCGAGGTCAGGAGTTCAAAACCAATCTGAGCAAGAGCGAGACCCTGTCTCTACTATAAATAGAAAGAAATTAATTGGCCAACTAATATATATAGAAAAAGTTAGCCGGGCATGGTGGCGCATGCCTGTAGTCCCAGCTACTCGGGAGGCTGAGGTAGGATTGCTTGAGCCCAGGAGATTGAGGTTGCTGTGAGCTAGGCTGATGCCACGGCACTCACTGTAGCCTGGGCAACAAAGTATGACTATGTCTCAAAAAATATATATATATAATATAAAAATTGTTTAAATGTGTTACATACTCTATATATAGTAAAACTGAAAACAGATAAATACAAATAAGAAAAAATTTTAATGAAATATGGAGAAAAAGAAGAAAGAAAGAAGGAATCCCCTTTTCAATCACCTACAGGCAACCACTGATTGATTTTCTTCCCCATATATTTTGCCTAAGCACATACATTACGTAGTTAAGATCTCTCTATGGTTTAAATTTTGATTCTGCTTTTCTCTGTTAATATGTATAAGCTCTTTCAGTGTTATTCCAAAGTTTACAAACATTTTTTTTTAGCTTGACATCATTAATTGGATATAAACACTATTTTTAAATAACACTGATTCTTTTTCTGTTTATGTAAGTAATATTTGGCCAAAAAGAGAAAAAAAAATAAATTCTGCGATAATCACTAATATCATAATGATGAGATGCCTCTCGGCATTTTATATATTTTTTTCAATCTTCAAATATATATTCAAACACATACAATTTTTTGCCGGCTGTTATAAATAATGCTTCCTGTAATATACATCTTTGCACACATCTCTGGGCGTTTCCATGAAATAAACTCCAAGAAAAGGAATAGTTGAGTCAAAGGTATACACATTATAAAGGCTGTCAATAATATTGCTATAATAATAGTGTACTTATGTATAGAGAAAATTAGCTGGGCATGGTGGCGCATGCCTGTAGTCCCAGCTACTTGGGAGGCTGAGGCAGGAGGGTTGCTTGAGCCCAGGAGTTTGAGGTTGCTGTGAGCTAGGCTGATGCCATGGCACTCTAGCCGGGGCAACAGAGTGAGACTCTGTCTCAAAAATAAAAAAATTTTAAAAAATAGTGTTCTCTCTTATCATTTTCACCTGAAAGGGGGCACGCTTTCCCCCAAACTCTTTCCAATGCCAGAATTTTTGTTGGTTTTAATCTTTGCCAATTTGATAGAAAAGCAATTACAGTCCATTGTTGTTTCAAATTGCATTTCTCTGAAGAAAAAGTGAAAAACAGTTTTTCATTTATGTGTATTGGGTGTTTGCATTTATATTTATTCTGGTATGAATAACATATTTCTATACCTTTTGCTCATTTTTTGGGGGAAGATTATCTTTTTCACACACACACACACACACACACATATATATATATATATATATTTTTTTTTTTTTAGAGAGAGTGTCCTTTTGTTGCCCAGCCTGGCCTTGAACTCCTGGGCTCTAGTGATCCTTCAGCCTTGGCCTCCCCAGTAGCCAGGATTATAGGTGTGTGCCACCTTGCCCAGCTTCATATTGGTTCTTAAGATTAAGAGAGAAAGCTTTCCCTCTAGGTTTTATCTATAGCAATTAAGCCCTATGTTTTAGAAATATTTTATAAAGGATGTTTGTTATATAAACATACATCTTCCCCCCAGCTTTAAGATATAATTGACAAAAAATGTACATATTTATGGTGTACAATGTGATGTTTTGATATGTTTATGCATTGTTAAATGATTAAATCAAGCTAATTTAATCCATCACCTCACATACTTATTTTTTTGTGGTGAGAACATTTAAGATCTACTCTCTTAGCAATTTTCCAGTATATAATGTATTATCATTGCCTGGGCGTGGTGGCTCACACTTGTAATACCAGCACTCTTAAGAGGCTGAGGCAGGAGGATCACTTGAGGTCAGGAGTTTGAGATCAGCCTAAGGAAGAGTGAGACCCTGTCTCTACAAAAAATAGAAAAATTATCTGGGTGTGGTGGTGTGTGCCTGTAGTCCCAGCTACTTGGGAGACTGAGGAGGAGGATCTCTTGAGCCCAGGAGTTTGAGGTTGCAGTGAACTACAACACCACTGCACCCTACCCAGGTCAATAGAGTGAGACTCTGTCTCAAAAAAGAAAATTATTATTAATTATAGTCACTATTCTGTACATGCTATACTCCAGAACTTACTTATCTTGTCTAACTGAAACTTCATACCCTTTGGCCAAAAATCCCATTGTCCTCCCTGGCAACATACTTTTTAATGGCTGAATGTATATATTAATACACCAATTTATTTAACCAATCCCCTGTGGACATTTAGATTAATTCTCAGTTTTTTGCCTGTAAATAATGCCACAGTGAATGCCTTTTCTTTAAATATTTCGGGTAATTTCTTAGGATGGAATCCTGCTGACTAATCTTTCAATTCATGATCACACGCGCAACCCTGGAACTCCTGTCCCTAGCCAGTCATCCGCGTTCTGGAGAGGACTGTTTCACACCTTTGCCTCTCGCTCTTCAAACTTCCCCTCTGCACTCTCAGCTGCTGACTTGCTTCCT